GGGGGGCATGGTGTCATTATACCTACGCACATGCCAGCCTGCCTTGCTAATTTTTATCTTTGAGGTCTGAACGTTTGTCGCCTCGCTTGATGGTCCTTACTCTTGCGGATACCGTACTTGACAGGGCTGGTTTTGTCCCATGAAGAGGCCATCAATAGCGAGCGACTAGCCCGTGGGAAACCACGACCTTTACTATAAGTCGATGTCACTTGGGGCGAATACGAAAAGTAGGGCCAACCGATCACGTCGACAAGTCACTGGATGGTGGCAAACCAGCAACGGTAGTCAACTTTTTTGCTTTTTTTCTTCTTCTTCTATTCGTACATGCAAACGGAAAGTTGCCGGTAAAATCACCGTGCTGTGGATACCAAAACGGATGTTGCGTCCCAAATATTTTACCGCAAAACGCCAACCCAACCCGTCCTATTACTCGATCTAATGGGGACAGGGTATAATTGTCATAATACAGACGGTAGCGCTAAAGACACATGGGTCGCTATGTGAGGGGGGACGCCTAACACAGAGAGAGCAAAAAAAAAAAAANAAAAAAAAAGAAACGAGGAACGGAACTCGAGCGTCGCCGAGGTAAATAGCTTTTCAGCAAAACGCGGGCTACCCAGCAAGAAAAGCCGAGGACAGCAGAGGCGGCGGCTGTGTTGACAGTGGCACCGTCGCCAGGCCGAGACAGGAGGAGGAGGAGGGGAACGAGAACGAGGGCGGCGCGTGGCAGTGATGGTGATCCGGCAGGATCCGCTGACTGGCGGTTACGTAGCCGGCCGCAAAGCCGAGGGCGGCGACGGCGACGATGAGGGCGGCGGGGCCCGTGCCGTCGAGCCAGCGCCGGGCGAGGCGCAGGCGGCCGACGCGCATGAAGAAGACCTCGCGGCCGCCCGTGGTCGTGACACCGCGCGCGCAGCCGCCTTCCCGGAGGAGCGAGGGCGAGGGGACGAGCTTGAGCTCGGTGGAAGACGTGGGTCTGGTTGACGGTTTGTCTTCGACTCTGTTTTTTTGGTTTGGTGTTGGGGAAGACGGGATGACGACGACGGACGGTTGCCATGCGGTATTTTTGATTTAATCATTACTATTGTGACCAATAGCGTTAAGGTGAGGGCTGGGGTCAGTCTGCTGTTCCTCTCCACAAGATGGCGCCGTTTGTTTCTCCTTCTTTTGTATGTTTCTACTACCCCATACCTCACCTGGTGATGTGATATGGGCAGAGGTAAGGAAACAGGGGAGGGAGTAAAACCAAATGAGAAATCGAATTCAAAGACTTACAGTAGAGCGATTGTCAACTCGCCTTCGAGGTGTGCCTTGAGCTCGAGGTCGACGTTGAGGTTGAGCCCCAGCTGCAGACGCGGGACCCCCTTCTTCTTCTCGGCCGTCTGGGCGGGGGCGCCTCCCGGATGTATCGGGGCAGCCTGTTGCTGCTGATACTCGTGCGGCGGCGGTGCGTGATATTGCTGCTGCTGTTGTTGCTGCTGCTGCTGGTTGTGGTGGTGGGGGTTTGGCCGGAAATTCCTCTGGCTGGCAAAGTGCGTGGTGAGGGCGGTGCTGACGGCGTTGGCGCCGTTGCCGTCGACGCCGCCGCGGTTCCTGTTTCTCCTGCGGCGGCGGCCGCGCGAGCTGCTGCTGCTGCTGCCGCGGCCCACCGACTCGCCGGCGCTGGACGCGGCGCTGCTGAGCGAGGCCTCCTGGAGCTGGCGGCGGAGGTCGGCGATGATGTCGTCCTTGGACATGTCCGACTCCGGGTAGCCGATGCTGATGGTGCTTTCGGACACTGTTGACGGCATCATGGCTGTGGTGTTTTGTTTGCGTTGTTTGTGCTGTTCCTTTTCCTTTGGGCGATGATGGATGGTGTGCTTTCCCGTCTCTCTGAAGAGAGGAGTCAGGCGGAACAGTAGACAGGGTGGGACAGTTTAGGTGTGGGAGAGAGAGGGAGAGAAAGAAACAAACAAACAAAAAAACAAAAGAGCGAGGGGCCAAGAAGAGCAAAAGGCACAGGGCAGGGAAAATGCCAGATGGGATATCAACAACGACTTATACATGGGCCGCGATGCGAGCGAGTGGAGCGCCTTGCCGCTGGTCGGCGCTGCCCGTGCGGTGGGCTGGGCCTGGTGGATGGGCCCGACCGACGGTCTGCGGCAAGGGTCCCTTCTACCTAGCCGTCTGCAGCCCAGCCCAGCAGCATCCATGACTCCTGCCGGTGCTGGGCTCTGTTCTGTCGGTCGACCCCAAGGCTCTGGGCAGGGGTGTCACGTGCCACACCGCCGCGTCCCACAGGGATCGAGGGACGTGGGCCGGCTGTTTTCGCCCGAGCCTCGTACGATGCAGAACAGCCTGTGAAACGTGCTGCAACAACCACAACCCGTGCTCAGCACCTGCAGCCCACCCCGCCCAATCAGCGCCCGCCCCGACGGCCACACCTGCGGTGCCCATCTGCCCACTTCCTGGACATTAGGACCCCTAGACTAAGGAGCCTTGGGATCTAGAACGCGTCTTGTGCGTCCACCCCTTGCGTGCGCTTTTGAGTTGGTTAGAAAAAAAAGAAGAAGAAAGAAAACGTGTGTAGACAGACACCTAGGTAGATAAAATACTTACCAAGCCAAGTATCAGATGCCAATAAATACCAATTATTCAAGCGAGGACCACTCGCCCTCGACGATCATATGGGCTGAACTGTTCACCGGCCACCGGTTACCATGACCGAAAGGGTGTCACGGCATGCCATCCGTCCACACACAGGTGCTTGCTGTATATGTAGGTTTGGTAGCATCGCATCCATGCGACATCCTATCCCCACACATCCATCGATCCATCCGTCTATCCATGGTTGTTCTGGCCCCCTTCTTTTGTTTCCCTGCTCGGCCCCTCACTCGGCCCCTCACTCGGCAGGTAAGTGATAGTGCTGCCTGCTTTGCTTTTTTCTCTTATACATATGCTGTCCCCGCCTCGCCCACCAACCTGGGACTGGCTGGGTCTGCAAGGAGGTTGTACTCCATGAACCATAGGTCGGCTGTAATATGAGGGGTTCCCGGGCCATCATCAGGGATCATTGTGAAAAGATCTCGGGCTCGTGTCAAGGCTGGGCCGAAATTAGTTGCCTGCCTGCCTGCCTGCCTCCCTCCTCTTCAGGTGCTCAGCAGGTCTCGGACACTCATGCCCCTGCCGGTGCTGCTCCCGGCGCCGCTTGCCCCGACCGGGCCGTTGGCGGCGCCGCGGCGGTCGCTGTTGAGCATGAGCAGCGCCGCCGTCGCCTCGTGGTCCACGTCGCGCAGCGGCTGCAGCGCGGGGCTCGTCAGCGCCGACCCGGGGCGCGACGAGTACGGGAGCCCGGCCGGGTACGTCTGGGGCCCGAAGGCGGGCGACGGCGTCGTGGCCGACGCCAGGCTGCAGCGCCGGCCGTCGGGGCCCAGGACCGGCGTCGAGACGGCCGACGAGTACGAGTCGTGGCGCTGCCGCCGCGAGTCGGCGCCCAGCAGCGCCGGCGAGACCGACGTCGAGTGCGTCGTCGACGACGCCGCCGCATGCGCTGCCGCCGCCGCCGCCTTGGCCGTGAAGGTCGGCGACGGGAGCTCCGCGCCCCCGTGCATGTCGACGTCGCCGTCCTCGTCGTCGTCGCCCGAGTTCGCCATGTACGCGTCGTATCCGGGACCTGATCCGAGCCGGTGATGCTGGTCCTCGTCGGCGCCATCGTATGTGGTCATGGGCGGCGGCGCAAGCTCCATCGGCGCCGACGCGTCCTCCCGCTGCGCCTTCAGCTTGGACACGCAGTCCTCCAGGTAGCCCACGTACTCGATCGAGGCCTGCCAAGGTCAGACGAGAGAGAGATGAGCATGTCAGTCGTCGGCTGCCACATGTCCGGCCCGTCCCTTTCGCCGGCCCTACCCCAACCCCTATCTTGTCATTTCAAAATTGCGCTGCTCACCTGGAGGATCGCTAGCTTGTGCATCTCGCCCGTGCAGGCCGGGATCATGTTTTTGAGCGTCGCGAACTCCTCGTTCATCTTGGACCGCCGCCTGCGCTCGATCAGGCTGTGGGCCGTCTTCCTCGCCATCTTCCGGCCGGCGGCGCTCGTGGCCGACGACTGCTTCTTCTTGCCGGCCGCCGACGCCCCCGCGCCTGTCGAGCTGCCACCCACGGCCGCCCCCGAGCCGACGGCGGCTGCGCTAGACTTCGCGCCGCCGCTCTTGCCGCCGCTGCCGCCGCCCGACGACTGGACCTCGGTTTCGTCCTGTGTCCGGGGCTGCATCTGGATGATCTTGCGAGACCTCGTCGGCGGTGGCGGCAGCGCAAACGAGTCCTTGGCAGCCGTCACCAGCGCCGCGCTGCCTTGGAGAGTCGACGGCCTACGTCGAGACTTGACCGTCTCGCTTGCTTGCAGTGGGTACTGCGTCTTGGCCTGACTCTGCCGGGGGCTCGATTCCGAGTCGGCTGGAGATGCCTTGGCCTGGGCACCACTTAGGGCTGGTGGCGGGAGTTCGAAAGACATTTGGAGCGAGGCGAGCTGCTTGCTGCCATCCTGGCTTTTGAGGTCGGTGGACGAGGCCGGGGTGAGGGGATGTGTTGCACGAGGCATCGCGCCGGCTGGACCAAGTAGATAGGTGACGTGTCGCCTCAGGCAGGGTTGGCTTCAAGGCCCGGACCAACACCTGGAGTGGTGGCGCTGACGAAGATGCACTGTCTCGTGGTACGTACGTACTGGGAATCTGCTATCTCAACTTTAGCTCCGTCTCGCCAAGCCTAGGCGAGTCGGAGGAGAGGATGTGGTTTGGATTCAGGGGCAATGAGCAATGCCAGTGAGAAAGAGAGAGAACCAAAGAGCAAATAGGTGATGCGGAGGGCAAAAAAAAAAGGAAAAAGAAGAGTGCCCCCAAGACAGGCTAATGTAGCAATGGATTGTTAGACCGACCACGAGGAAGACACAAAATAAAAGAGCACGTGCTACAAGACGGAGTCGCGGTTGCCTCTGAGGATATGCAAGCGGTCGGGTCCTAGAAGCATTGTTTGCCAGCGACGGGGTGGGGGGTGTATGGCCAGGAGGGAGGAAGCCGTCGATGCTTTGTCGGCTTCAGAGTTAAGAGATGGATGCGAAAGGGGGATGTGAATCAAATGTGTTGATAACAAAGAAGCAAAGCTGGCCGGCCGGTGGTGGTGGTGGTGGGTAGGTTGGGAGTAGGTAGATACGGGATGGGGAAGCCATGGGATGGGATGGGACGCGGATTGACAAGCTAAAAGTTGCCCGCACGAGCGAGCGCCAGGGGAGCTAAGTGCCTGGACCAGGGTTGATAGCAATACCTGGGCACACGGCCTTCTGGAGGTACCTTTTGGGGGGGGAAGTGATGGAGCAGGGAGGGAGGGCCCTCAGGGAAGGTCCGGCTGGGAGAGCATCAGGGCCGTCATACCCTCGTCTGTTTTCATCAGGGTAGTCGTAGGATGGGCCAGTTTAGTCCAGTCCAGCCGCGCGTCCAGCGATAGCACGCGAGAAAGAGAGAGAGAGAGCTCCTTTACCTGCCTGCCTGCCTGCCACCTTCCTACCTACTGCGCAGGCCGTCCAGATACCATACCGCCCTCTGCCTGCCTGTCCAGGTACCTCGGGGAAGGGCAAGTTCATCCAGCCGCTCAAAGTGGGCAGGAAACGTGCAACGTTTGGCTACCTGTGCTCTTACCCCGGAGGGGGGGCGAGTGTTCGACGCTTTGCTCGTCGAACGTCGTTCCTCTGCGAGCCAATCAGGATCGAGAATTCGACCACGTTGGTCGGGAATTGGAAACGAGGCACGCGACTACCTTTTGGGGGGTGGATGTCGTCTGGTCCGTGCCCGCAAGCCCGTGCTTGCTTGATAGGATGCTACCTGGAAACGAACACGGAGCCTCCGCCTCAATTTCATGCTTCTGAGCGTCAAGCTTTTTTGTTTCATTGTCTTTTTTCACCGCATAAACCAAATAATGAGCAACATTTTTTCGTCTTTCCGATCCCCACACCTCCCTAGGCTTGATTCCTAGCCATTGCCTTTGCCCACATGGTTACGACCACCACGTCGTAATAAGGCCGGAGCTACCTTTGTCGGTGCTTATCCTTCGCGAATTCTCCCTAGCTGGTTGCCTTGTGCATGGAATCCCTATTCGGACAATGCGGGCACTCGCTTGACTCGGATGCGTCCCCTCCACCTGCCGTCTGGCATGACAAGAAGCGTTTGACGGGCATTTAGATACTCGCGTCCAGTTTCCTGGAGCACTCACGCATTCCTCGTGATCGTAGCCAGTACTTGTACGTGCTTATGTAAAAGTAGTATATACCTAGTTGGATACCGGATATACTTGCCCACCTACAGTTTCGGCAGGCAGCTTGTTCTAGGAACCCTATCAACAGAGTGCCCTCTAAGCAACACACACACGGCACGCACGTGCGAAACATGATGCCCACAGCAGCGACTGACCCATCAGGAGGCGACCAGTCATCAGACCCACTGCCGAGACCCAAACCTGCCCGCCGGCAGCAGAGCCTCGCCGGCTCCCACTCCCGGACAGCCGGCGCGTGCCCCTCTTGCTTGCTTGGCCTTCTCAAGGCAGGTTGCTGGGGTACAGCACCGACGTCGTCGTGTTGAACTCCTCCTTGATGGTGCGGACGCTGACGAACCTGCCGAGGAGGTTCTGGCTGCCCGCCTTGTCGTTGGTGCCGCTGGCCCGGCCGCCGCCGAAGGGCTGCTGCCCCACCACGGCGCCCGTGCTCTTGCAGTTGACGTAGAAGTTGCCCGCCGACCCCCGTAGCGCCTCCTCGGCGAACCGCACCGCCGCCCGGTCCGCCGCGAACACGGACCCCGTCAGCCCGTACTCAGACGTCGAGTCCACCAGCTTGCACACTTCGCCAAAGGCCGCCGCCGGGTCCGCCCCGGTGTCGTCGTACACGTACACCGTCAGCACCGGGCCAAACAGCTCCGTCGAGAGCAGCTTGTGCTGCGGGTCTGTCGTCTCGTAGATTGTCGGGTGCACAAAGTAGCCCCTGGAACCGTCGTACTTGCCACCAGCCAGCAGCTTCAGCTTGCTGTCCGACTTGGCCTCGTCAATGACCCCGGACAGCTTCTTGAACGAGGCCTCGTGGATCACGGGGCCCATGAAGTTGCCGTGGTCCCCAGGGTCCCCGACCTTGAGCTTCTCCGTCTCCTCCACCAGCCGCTGCTTCAGCTGGGGCCAGAGCGACTCGGGCGCGTACAGGCGCGACGTGGCGCTGCACTTCTGCCCCTGGTACTCGAACGCGCCCCGGACCGTCTGCACGGCCGCGTTCTCGACGTCGGCTGACGAGTGCACCACGTGGAAGTTCTTGCCGCCCGTCTCGCCCACGATGCGCGGGTACGACACGTACCGGCCCTCGCCCACGCCCGCGCCCACCTGGCCGTACAGCTTGCGGAACACGGCCGTGCTCCCCGTGTAGTGCAGCGCCGCGAACTGCCGGTGCGAGAGCGCCACCTTGGTCACCTCTTCTGGGTCGCCCGGCACGAACTGCACCACGTCGCGCGGCAGGCCCGCCTCCAGGAGGATGTTGTAGAGTAGCCAGTTGGACCCAATGGCGAAGTCGGACGGCTTCCACACCACCACGTTGCCCAGGAGCGCCGGCGCCCCTGGGAGGTTGCCGGCGATGGCCGTAAAGTTGAAGGGCGACACGGCGTAGACGAAGCCCTCGAGCGGCCGGTACTCGACGCGGTTCCACACGCCCGGCGAGTTGTGCTGCGGCTGCTGCGCGTACAGCTCCTCTGCGTACTGCACGTTGAAGCGCAAAAAGTCGCACAGCTCTGCCGCCGAGTCGATCTCGGCCTGCCACGCGTTCTTGCCCTGGCCCAGCATCGTCGCCGCCATGATCTCGTAGCGGTACTTGGTCGAGATGAGGTCGGCTGCCTTGAGGAAGATGGCCGCCCGGTCGTGGAACGGGAGAGACGCCCAGCTGGCCTTGGCCGCCAGGGCCGACTCGATCGCGCGGCCGACATCCTCAGGAGACGCCTTGGAGTATTTTGCGATTACCGTCTTGTGATCCGCAGGGTTCACCTGGGTCCCGGTCGACGACGTCTTGATCTGAATCCATCCATATCCGTGGCTATAGTCAGATAACAAACTCGGACCGACCACATGTGAAGCTGGGAAAGAACCGAGTTCGAGGCATGGATATGAGGCATGGGTATCCGTCTACTCACCTCTTTCCCTCCGACTACAATTGGTACCTCCAGGGGCCCTTTGCTCTTGAGAGCTTCGAGGGCAGCAGTCAGCCCCTCCCGCTGGGCCGAGCCCTTCGCATAGTGTTGCTGCAATGTCGCATTCCCATGTGAGCCGCGGTCCAGATGCGAAGCCGTCCGACGTTTGCCCTTCTGAGCATCCCGGGAACACTCACGTTCGGCTCGTTGGCCACCTTGGGGATCTTGAAGGAAGCTATGGTCGACATCCTGATCTGAGCTTTCGACAGGCCGGCTCTGGCTATTATCGGAACTCTGCAGAGCGTGTGATGCGGCGAGTACAAGGTTCGGGCTGTGGTTTTCGGTGCTGACAGCGGCAGTGAGAGGCCAATTCGCCTTGATGCCATTGTGGAAGAAGGAAGCAGGAGCACGGGAGGGAGCACGTTTGGAGAAGTCGCAGCTTCGGAAGCTTATTTAGTGTGTGGTCTGTTTCAGTGACACAGAGATTTCCAATTCCCGCGGCTAGCCTCTCATCAGGTGCACACACAGTGTCTCGGCCAGGAACGTAGGAAGCGCGGATGGATGTGGCGGCTCCAGCAGGGGAGTTGGTTGGACCTTCATGCCCGTTCCCCTCCGCACCGTCGGGCCAGCCCGACCGATATCGCCCTTGCCAGGGGGCTGCTCCTATCGACAGTGACGTGAGCCTGTGGGCGAGTCCTCGCTTTGTCGCGGCTCAACTTGCTGAGGGGTTCTGCGGGGTCGGGTCGCTGCCCGCAGCGGCCAATCAACGACATTCAAGGGTTAGGTTGTTCTATACAAATTATCTAGATTCTGGAAATCACCGGTTACTCTCCACCGGGGTGTGCCGAATGCATCTGTTCATCCCGTAAGGGAGGGGATGTATTGTGCGTCCGGCCATTCTGTGCCGTAGAAGAAGGGGGTTATGAAAGTGTCCCCGAGGGGGATGGGTGGGGGATCACCTGCCTTAATCAGGCCTGGTTCGGGTCCGGAGCCAGCCTTCCTGGGCAAGGGTCGAGTTGAGAATGACGAGTCATGCCCTGAGCCATGTCGCTCAGCGCGCCCCTCATGCCCTCGGCCGCTCCCTCGGGCCCAAGCTCGTATTCCACATCGAAATCGTGGAGCGTGGACTGCAGGGGGCCGCTCTGACCTGGGGGGAGCTGGACGAACTGAGGCACCGACATGAGGCGGAAGGTGCCGCCGTGCTCGTCCGAAAAGGCGGCGCAGCACCGCCCATGGCTCAAAACACAATCGCCGGATGGGCAGCCGGTCCTGGCCGGGCCTAGCCTTGCGGTCAGTATCTGGAAGAGCGGGCACATGAACTGGGCCTCGTACTCAAAGGCCACCGTCACCATCCCGCACCTCATCATCTTGAACCTCTTGAGGTTGGGGAACGCGGCGTGCACCCTGGCGAGAACCCCTTCCCAAGGGTTGACATCGCCCGAGGTGCCTTCGAGGTAGATGCAGTCGAACTCCAGCGACTCGAGCTTATCGCCGCCGAGGTTGGACTCCATCCAATCGCGGAGCACCAGTGGTGACGCACCGCTCAGGCGGCCGCGTCGGCCTCCAACCTTAAGGCTGCGGATTACGCGCTGCTGTTGAGACAGCAGCGCGACGCAGCACGCGATTGGCACCTCCCCGCCCCGGATCTCGACCGTTTCGAGATTTAGCGCCGAATCGAGCAGGGTATGGATAAAAGGCCGGACGGCGGGGTCGGCGGGGTCGGCCATCTCTTCCACGTCAAAGCGGAGCGTCTTCAAAGAGTCCCAGTTAGCACGGCGCAGGGCCTCGGGGTCGAGCAGGGGCTCATCAATACCTCTCTTCCGCAGGGAGACCTCGAGCGCCGTCACCGGCGCCGGGTTCGTGGGGTCCGCCGCGAGCGCCACCACGAGGGCGAGCGCGTCAGTCGGGTACAGGTGCATCGGCCCCCTATCGTTGCCGCCGGCGCCCTGCTGCTGCGGCGGCGGCGGCGGCGGCGGCGGCGGAACACCCGGGTCGTTCCAGGCCTCGTCGGAGATGGCGAAAGAGCGGTAGCCGTGGAAGCCGTCGCGGATGCACGATAGCACCGCCCGCCCCGTTGGGGTTGCCAGGTCGAGCCGGCCCGTGGCGGCGTCACGCGCCCAGTCGTTGGGCCGCTGCACGTAGGACATGCGATGTTGCGCCCAGGGGACGATGTGAAGCACGCGGTCCCGGCGGCGGTGGTGGGGGAAGCCCACGGCCCCGAGGAGCCGGGACAGGCTGCGCCGGCTAAGGTCCGTAGTTAGACTGGGGAGAAAATGCGTTCCGAAGGCGCCTGACGCCGCTGCCGCCAATTCGGGGGAAGCCTGTCGGAAGGCAATAAGGTCGGGACCCTCAAGATAGTTGGCGATCTCGGCCTGCAGCTCGACAGGGAGTTCCTCCAGCCAGGATCGGTGTGCCTCCATCGTAATGGTGTAGGTGATGTGAGATGAGGGAAATGGATGATGCTGGCAGATGGTTTCCCCGCTGTTGATGGCTGAAGGCTGTAGTGAGTAGGTGGGCGTGGTGTGGGAGGGAGCGTCGACGTCAGAGTGAAGCATTTTGGCCTGAATTTATGTAGACACTCTTTGTGACTATCATGGAGCCTACATTTCAGTTCGAAGAACCCTGCTACGTGAGACCATGGCTTTGTTGTGTCCAGACAAAGGGAGGGCGAGTTGGCCATGTGCTCTTTGTGACATGTTTGTCAGGGGCCTTTCATTGCCGAACGAGACTTAATCAGCTTCGCTCCAAGTCACGCCTGCCGCTGCTTGTCCTGCATATCTTTGCCATGGTTGCGATGTCGGCTGACGGTGGGAGTTGAAACGAGCACAAGATCTCTGCGACCCCATCCCGACAAGCCGAAGGCTAGGTGGCCCAGTATGTTAGCACATGGAGGAAAACGATTTGAAAGTTCAGTGCGACATCACAAGTCGCTGGTCAGGGGGATCTTAATGTCGTAAAATCGAATGCCAAGAGCAAACAAGCCCGTGTTTTATGAACGCCAGAAACGCCCCTTGTGATCGTACTTTTGCAGTCCACGCCCTCCGCCATCATGACCCAGAGCGTCCGCTATCGTCTTACTCCCGCATCGAATCCTCTTGCCCGGCAGCCACCGCATCGTCAAGAGCGCCCCACAGGCCCTCGAGCTTGAACTCCTTGGCCCACTCGGTAACGATCTGTTTCTGGTCCGGCAGCGTGGCCTCGTCGTTCACAACAGTGACGGAGCCCGTGTTAGCCGCAGCGGCCTTGCCATCTACGGATACCGCAAGCACTGGGGCTTCGGTCCACCCCTGGATCCGCCCGTCACGCCAGTCCGTGACCACGGTCATGGCCGCCGCAGCAATGTTTGGAATGCCGCCGCGGCCGATACGGCCCCGCTTCCGCGCCACCTGCACCAAAAAGTCCGTGGTCGCGTCGCCGGTTTCGTAGTTGGACAGGAGTGGCGGCAGGTCGTAGACCTCACTAAGCTTCCGTGACAGCTCTGGGTATGCTGAAAGCCTCTTGAGCAGCAGAGTGACGGCAGGTATGGGGTCCTCAATGTGCTTGGGGGGCACTGCGTTCAGCAGCACAAGGTGTGCGTGAGCCTCGGCCTTGTTCTTGGGCACGAACGCTGCCGAAGAGGTCGCCGTGGTCGAGGGGAAGACAATCCCAGGAGAGTCGAGCAGCGTCAACTTGGAGTCTATCTTGACCGCCCGGATGGACGTGGTGACGCCGGCCTCGGCACCTGCGGGACAGGCAGAGCGCTGGCCGCCCATGCGGGACATGAGGGCATTGATGACGGACGACTTTCCGACGTTGGGGTAGCCGATCACGCCGACGGAAACGGCACGCTTGAGGTTGCGGCCCGCGGCGAATGACTTGAGCGCGCGGAACAATGCCGAGCTCGTGCTCTGAACCGTCATGTCTCGGTGGTTGAAGGTGTTGGCGTTGGGCGCCGCGTTGGAGGCCCGCAGCGGAAGCGTAGGGAAGTACCTGCGCAGGTGCGCAAGCCAGCCGCGGAGCACGGGTGGCGGGATCAGATCGACCTTGTTGAGGATCAGGATCAGTCGCTTTCCGCCGCTCGCCGCCGCCATCACGGATCGCTCCACGTCCCTTGACCTGGTGCCCTCAGGATCCCTGGCATCGAGAACGTAGAGGACGACGTCGGCCTGCTCGACAACCTGCTTGAAGACCTTGTCATATGCCTTCCGCGATGTTGCTCCTCCTGTCACTTCGATCGCGCCCTCGTCTTCGTCTCCCTCCGACGAGTCGTCGTTGTTGTCGCGATCGCCGTCGTCCATCCCCGAGTCGTCGTCAGTCTCCAGATCCTCGTCATACTTCTCAGCGGCAGCACGGGCGCTCGCTATGAGGGCAGCCATGGGATCCAACTCGTCGACGTCGTCCTCGTCCATCATCTCGCCGTCGTCTCCCATGTGGCCATCGCCGACACCAGCGCCCTCAGCGGCATCATCTGCGCCGGTATCGTCCTTCTGTGCCTTGGCCGCCTTGGCCGCCTCTTTCCTCCGACAGAGCTCCTCCTGTTTTTGGATCTTGGCTTCCTCGATTTGCTGCAGGAGCCTCTCCTTGTATGGGAAGAGGTTTGGAATCCCGGGATCTTTCTTGAGCTTTGAGCGCCACTCTGGGTTCTTCTTTGCTAGCTTCCTGTCCTTCCGCTGCTTCGCCTTGGACTTCTTCTCGATTTTATTCCGTAGCCGACTGGTAGTCCGCTTGGACATGGGCTCTGCAAAATTTTGAGGTTAGCAAGAGAAGCGATTCCACCATAATCGCCGCGCGCGACACGACAGTGACAGGAGCCAGGGGCCGCGCATACTTTTGGGTTTATTAATTGAGCCCGCCATTTTGACCAGAGGCACGTCGCAGGGCCTTTATGGAATTCAAATAATAACTACCCAATGCGATCTGAAGGTGGTGACGCTGTCCTTTGCCAAACGGGAAGTCAGCGGGACAACACTCAAGGCACACCGATGCGCCTGGATTTTTTTTTTGTTCGTACCCCATCCGCCTATTTTTTGCCCACCCTCCACTTTCCTGATAAGATAACGCTTGAGATGACCGGCAGCTGCCCCACCTGCCCGCATCCACCCCACGTTCCAACAACCATGGGATCGGGGGCGAGAAGCAAACGAAGAGCCACGACTATCCATATAGCGGGATGGTAAGTAGCTGACTCCTACTTCTGTAGCGGCAGTCACCGCCCTTCTCTCCCACGTTGCTATTCCGATCCCTGTAACAGGATCATCAAAATGAAAGCCGTTAAGTCGATGGTCTCGATACTGCGTTAACTAGAGTTGCAACAACCAACAGAATACACGTGTCTCTCAACGTCATGCGGCTCGGGCGACGGTTCATGATGATCCACTCCAACGATTAACCGAGTCTGCGTGTCAAGGCGAGCCTTTGGTTTCATGAATAAAGTGATGAGCAGGAGCGAAATCCCCACCGATCTGTGTCCAGATATGCAGTTCTCGACTGTTTTGGGATACCTCCCCCACGGCGACATTCCGTATATTATTTCACGGCCTCTAGAGTCGAAACGGGCCAGATCCCCACGCTGGCGAGCATGGTTCTGGAATTCGACACGCCGAGTGGGCGCATGGAAATCGCGACTGAGTAAAGTTAGCCCCTGAGCTACCAGAGCGGAGCTTCCCAAACAGGCCGCACAAAAAATCCCATGCGCAGATTCGGTTGGCTGAGTCGGCGGCGGCGCTGACCGCCAACTCCGCCGCCGCAGATTTTGGGAAATAAAACGGGCTCGCACAGCATATACCTCCCTCCCTTGCGCACTGCTAGACCAATTCCGTTATCTCTCGCTCCCGTCTGACTTGCTCCATCTGTGCTTTTGCCGTCACAGACTTCCATTCCTTGCCTATTTCCCCGATCAACCCGGCAGGCCCACCCACGACAGCATCCCTTCCTTCTTGATCGCTTTATAAACGCGTCACCTCTCAGAGTAACACGAAACAGGCTTGTCTGGACGCCCCCTGCACGATTCGAAAATGGAGTTTAGCTACACGGCCCCTCCCGAGCGGATCGCCCTCAATGGCTTCCTCTTCGACATGGACGGCACCATCATTGATTCGACCAATGCCATCGTGAAACACTGGAGCACGTATGTCATGTCAAGATGTTGCGAGCAGAAGAGCGGCGGAGGGAGATGATGTTAAGACGGGCAGCGCCAGTGCCAAATATAGAGTGGCTGACAATGAATTGTTCCCCTGGTGCAGCGTTGGAGAGGAAATCGGGGTTGACCCAAACGTGATTCTCGAGACATCACACGGCCGCCGGAGCGTTGATGTCCTGAAGCACTACGCTCCTGAAAAGGCCAACTACGAGTGTGAGTTAGCGGAGGAGATCAGAGGCCACTGCGGGGGGCGCTTCACTATCCGTTTCCTTATCAGCGGCCATCGCTCCAAGACGAGGGCATGGACTCGGGGGCCCGATAAAACTCGGTACGCCGCGACTGCGGGCTGCCCAGCTCAGCTAACATGGCTCACGCACCCGCCTATACAGATGTCAGCCGGATGGAGGCAGCCATCCCGAAGCTGTACGGCGAGGACGCCGAGGAGATACCGGGTGCTCGGGCGCTTCTGGACGCGATCCGTGCCGCCGGCAGCCCCTGGGCCATCGTGACATCAGCAACACGCGGCCTCGTTAGCGGCTGGCTCGATGTCCTGGGCCTCCCGAAGCCCGAGCACCTGATCACGTCCGAGTCGGTCGAGAACGGCAAGCCCGACCCGGCCTGCTACCAGATGGGCCTGGATCGACTCGGTCTCCGGGATGAGGCCGCCGGCGTGCTGGTTTTAGAAGACAGCCCCGCCGGCATCCGCGCAGGAAAGGCCGCCGGCTGCAAAGTCCTCGGCCTCGTTACGAGCCACACGGTCGAGCAGGTCACCTCCGCGGGGCCCGACTGGGTCGTCCGGGACCTGGAGTCTGTTAGACTCTTGCAAGGCGAAGGAGGGAAGGTCACTCTGGAGATCTCGAATGGCCTTGTGATGAGGCTGCCGAACTAAGCGAAGTCCAGTCAAACCGAGGTACCGTTTCGGGATGAGCCAGGCTAGGCTCGGTAGACGGATTCGAGTGATTGAACGCCAAGGAACGATGTCTATAGAACAACGAGGCTGCCTCTCCTTTCCCTGTCTCTTTACAGTGATGGGACTAGATGGGTACTTTAGATATAGCCTTGAATTAATAGTTATGTGCCGGGTACAGAGCAATTTGCGTCTCGGCTACCCCAACCCGCCGTTCTTTTCTTGACCCTTCTCCTCCTACTTGTGGCCATTCCTACCACAAAGGATCCCTTGCAGGATTGTTTGGCGGAAAAGTTATTCCAGTGAGACAGAAGACATGACGGAACTTGTTGCGTTCCAAGACGAACTTGCCCCCAGGAGAGGTGTGCTACGGCACGTCGCTATCTACTGCAGAATGGAAGGGACAGAAAAGAATATATACGTATATAAGAAGTAGGCAAAGAGATGTGCCCGTGGCTACAAGTTGGTGGTAGCAATTAATGGGAGTAGAGGACTTTCGTATGTGCCAGTCCATGGGAAAAGATTCTATCCTCTAAACACAAAGCAAGGCCCACCATAGACCCCATCCAGTATACTTCTATGTATCCCCAACCACGACAGGCTCCATACGCGACTGGTGACCTCCGAGTCGGAGCCTCCCCGCCAGGAGATGCCGATCTCTCCGTCTCTTAGTCTCGACGCCCTCGACCCGTGCATGCTAAGTTCTAGGCCTTGTGCGACCCTTGGCCGGCTTCCAACAAAGTTGAGAAGCAGAAAAGGATATAGAAACAGGGATGGGGCGGGTCTCCAAACACGTCCAGATTTATCGTTGTCCGAAATACATACACTTGCTTGGCTGCCGTGGTAGGCTACGTGGATGCCCAACTAGGTACCCAGGTAGCTGCCATGGACGGACGGGCGCGAGAAAGAACGCCTCGTCAGCGATCCAGGTCCATACCAGCGTATTTTGTGTGGGTGGATTTCACCATAGGACCGATTGATTGCCCCGAGACGAGCGGCCTCCGGCAACCTGCTCTGGCCTCCAGGTGACGTCGCGACTGGGCCGATCGCTATCCCGGCCGCTCGAGGGGGCAGGCTGGCGGGAGATGGTGGGTGGTCCTGCCCACTCGGAGATCGGAAGGTTCGCGATTCGCCAGCATCGGTCCGGCGTCGGAAATATGTGCTTGTGCTACATGGCGGCATGTCTCTGAAGGGTATGGATGGGACGGGCACGTCAAGGAGAGCAAGACGGCACCGCACGTTCCCTTCACGACCATCACGCCACCCCTTTACACTCGCAGGTGAATTAGGTCGGTGCAGAGAACTATTTGCCCAACGCTTCTGTAGGTGTCCCTGTTTTTTTTTTCTCCCCTTCCTTCGCCACACTCTAGAGGCACCGTTGCTTTTTTTGCTCTTCGTGTTTCTCCCAGCCGCACGAGAGGCTCCGTGCTTCGCCAGGGGCATACTGCAAGGTCCCGAAATCAGCAGGTGACACGGACGGGGAGCCCCAGAGAGCCAGTCCGCCCGCCATGCCAGCCGGCTACAATACTTTGGAGCGTTTTCTCCGGTTGCCCTCGACCTGATCTGCTGGGGATGGTGACGAAGCAGCCGGAGGGGGGGTGTGTGAAATCACGGTAGGCTGCGGGCACACAGAGCGCCTCGGCTGCTGGTCCCTGCGGTGACACCCTTTCCGCCTAGCAGCGGCGTGTGCGCCCTTGTGACTTTGATCATATAGTGGTCGGCGATTTGAGTAACCTTGAGGATCCCCGAGGGGCCGCACCCGACGCGGACGACGTGCCGGAATGGTTCCCATGGCGAATATATCGCCTCCAGTCACCTCACGCTTTCACAAGACGTCCCTTGGCTACAAATTACGAATTTCCTTGGCATCGGAGGGTTCTGTCCACTTTGCGAGGACGAAGCTGTGACGGCAGCCACACGTCTCGGGTGGCTCGGGACGAGGGCAGATCAGTAGCGCAAAGCAAAACAAAAAATAAACAAAGAAAAAGAAAGGAAAAAAGTACCTGAGCGCGAGGCCATTTGTGGCGCCAAAGTGCAGAGGGGGGGAGAAAAGAAGAAGAAAAGAAATGTTGCGAAACGAGGCTAGACGAGCTACCGGCTCCGTGTGGCGTCGCTGAAAGCAAGCTTGCGCGGGATATCCCTATTTCCCCTGCAGCGCGCGGCCCCGCGAGTGGAGATGAGAAACTTGGCCAAAGGGGCACTTTTTCGGGCACGCCAGCTGGTAGACGGCGGAAAAGCAGGCAGGGCCAACTAACGGTCGCCAACGACGGTTGTCCTCGACCAGTTCAAGGGGCGGGGATAAACGGGACTTGCACGCCTCCCCCAAGCCAGTAACAGCAACGGACTGCAGCTGCTGCTGCTGCTGCTATACATGGGCCTGACCGGTCAGGCTCCCGCAAAAGAAAAAGATGACGAAATCCTGCCGCCATCCGGCTTTTGAGAAGTGCAACGGGGCAGAATTCGATCCATTTTCGCTACAACCTGTAGTAAGGCACAGGGGCCATCCGCTGGCAGGTGCTGATCCATGAGGCTCAACCAGGCTGCCGGGCGAGATATCCGGGCCTGGATGCGTGGTTGACCGCACCGGAGCCCGACCTGCACAGAGGTAGAAACTGGGCCGTCTGCTCCATGGAAAGATACCACACCAATCGACGGGTGGGTTTTGACGCCCTCCGGCGAAGGGAGAAATCACATCGGTAGTCTACGCGAGTCGCCTGTCATAAAAACCCCCCAGCACGGCGACGCCTAAATAATAGACAGGTAGCCCAGCCAACACGACAGCCGCACTCCTGTTTACGGCCGTGTTCGCCGGTGCACAGATGATGTCAATTTGATAAGCGGTGGGAGCAAAGCAACGAAACGACTTACGGCGCATAGGGCGCAACCGCCGCCCACCCAGGTAGAGCTGAGGGCGCAGGGACATGGCGCGTGGAGCAAGGAAACCTGGGCGTGGGAAGCGAGGGGGGGAAGCAAAGACGGAACCGGACCGCCCACGAGCTCTTCCATCCAGCCCAAGCAAAACCTCGCAGCCTGGGCTGAAGGTCACGACGAGGTATCCGCCATACAACGACCGAGGTACCAATGCACGACCCAGTCAGGGTAAGCGGAGTGGGCCCATGGCACACAGGGCACACAGGGCACCCACTCACCCACCCACCCACACCCCCCCCCCTCTGGCTCGGTGTGGTGTGGTGGTGCCTGGGTCGGTCGGTCGGATGAGCACGTCGCGCCGCCTGCATGCTGGCTGTGCTTTTGGGGCAACCGTCCAAGACCACCCGTCGCATTTTGGGCTAGTCGGCGGTCGTTGTGCGGGCGGGCGTTCAGCGTGCCCGCGCGCGCGCCTAGGTTCGTCCAAACTTGCCGCTGTCGGCATAGACACGAACCACCTTGCCCGCCATAACACACGTGGCACCCCCTTGCTCTACTAATTTCCAGGTTGGAAATGGGGGAGGAGAGCGGGTAAAAATCGGGCGAGCCTGCCGCTATCTGCATTTATGCCGGACGGGGGGGGGGGGGGGGGGGGCCGACCGACGGACGAC